AAGCTGTTACTGTCGTCATGACAACTGCATATCCTCTATGTTAAAGTATGTGGCAATATAATATCAAGCTGTTACTGTCGTCATGACAACTGCATATCCTCTATGTTAAAATATGTGGCAATAAAATATGAAGCTGTTACTGTCGTCATGACAACTGCATGTCCTCTAAGTTAAAATATGTGGCAATACAATATCAAGCTGTTACTGTTGTCATGACAATTGCCAGTTCACTAAGTCAAAGTACAGTAGTATACACTGACATTGCTATTGCTACTGTCATGGCATCTGCATGTCCTAGGTTTTTAGGAGTAGTTATCTGAGTAGTGTACACCATTATACTATGTATCATTGCTCTTACTGTTGTCATAACAACTGCATATCTTTTAGTATTGATCATTTTTATTTACACTTTACTATATTATTGCCATTGCTGCTGTCATAATAATGATAATGACAACAACAACTCATCAATGAAGAGAGCGTCCTGCATGTTTTATACATGTATACTATACTAGCCATTGTTGCAGTTGTTGTAAAAAGAGTAGACGGCAGAATCTGCTGGTTGCCGGCTTCTATTGACAACCCTGAATTAGCTTGCACTAACTATATGTTGCTGTTCTCATGGCAACTGTCATTATTGCTATTATGACAGCTGTGACATGTCACATGTTGCTCATGACAATTGTCATTATTACTGTGGTTATGAGAAATGTGACATGTTGTCTAGGTCAAAGAAGCATGCACTAACTATATGTTGCTATTCTCATGACAACTGTCATTATTGTTGTTACTGTTACAGGATGGATCTAAAGTAGCTTGCAACAAGTTTTCCACAAAGGTATAAACTTGGTATAAATCTTTTTCAAATGCATTAGTCGTCTTCTGTTACCTTTTTCATCTGCTCTTTTTGCGTTCGTACAACACATTTTAGTGTTATACAAAGTTATTTTTTGAAATATTTTAAAAATTTATTTTTATTAATTTGAACTTACAACTTTTACACTATAAATGTGAAAATTTAATAAATTAAAGCAGTTTTTAAAAGTCTTGAAATTGTAATATTTTAACTTGCATATCAGGATGCAGGTTATGTATTGTGGTAATTTAATTGATGGTCATAATAATTATTTGTTGTACATACTGTACATGCAGGTTTATGCCATATCATTCTCTGAAATCGGAAACTTCTTTGTTACATCTGGAGTTCGTCATGTAAAATTTTGGTACTTTGACACAGAATCCACTAAGTTAAAGGTGAGTTAGACCAGACACAATTTTGAACTTTGCAGGCTACTTATATTTTAGATGATATCTGTTGTCATCTCTGATCTAATCTCGGAAAGTAGGATTGGAAATCAATACCATTTTTAGTTCATATCTATTTGCTGTGCTTTTTATGTATTTGTAATGATATTTGCATTTCAGTTTCTGAATATGTATCTGTTACTGACCTCATAATGTTGTCAAGATGACAACAAAACATTGTCTTGTTTCATGAAATCATATCTATTTACTAATTTTTTCAAAATAACCAAAAGTGCTAATTATTAACGTAGTCCTACTCATTTGTGTTTCCATAAAGCATGATAAAACCCTGCCTATAAAAGGAAGATCTGGTATCTTGGGAGAGCTTAGAAGCCATACATTCTGTGATGTGGCATGTGGACTGGGTGAAAATTCTGAGTATACATACTGTGTGACTACAGCTGGGGCATTGTGCTCATTTAATTCAAAGAGAAACCTGGAAAAATATGTTGAATTAGGAGTAAGTATATAAATTAAGAATAAATTATTTTAGTTTATGTTTATGCCAAGTTTAAAAAAATTCTGATTGCAACTTCGTTTGCCTGCAGAAAACCTTTTAAAAGTTAATAATGGAAAAAATATTGAAAAAAATTACAAATTTGTACTAAAAGTATTTAATTTTTGTTTGAAGTCTTCCAAAGCACTCAGTATGGCCATAAGTGAGAAGTACATAATATGTGGCTACACCAATGGATTTATTAGGTACGTAAGAGAGTTATCGAAAATGTCCAGCCAGAACTGGATTTTGTTCTTTCAAATCTTTGCCTTGCCAGTCATTTTGACCAGTTATCTTCAACCAGCAATGAGATATGACTGAAGCTAAAACTAATTTGGTTATTGATCATGACTGGCAACTGATCAGACCTCTATAAAACAAGAATGGATAGGCTACAAACTAATTAAAAGTACATTAATTTTACCTTTGGCTATAAAAATATACACTCAGATATAGTTAGCTGTTACCCTGCAAGTATGAAATATTGTAGTAATAAAAAAAAGTTATAGAATATCACAATCCAATCTATTATTAAAATCATGCACACACATTATCAATGTTTTATATTTAACTAAAAAAAGTAAATATATCTGATTACATTTTAGGGTATTTGAACCTTCAACTCTACAGTTTGTGGCAACTTTACCCAAACCTCACTTTCTTGGGGTTAATGTTTCAGATGGTATTGATCCAAGGTTTGTAAAGCCTGAAATTTCTCAAATTATAAGAAATTTCTTGTTTATTGCTATATTTTATATCTGTTAATCCTTGGTATATTTCATTCTTTTAGTCACATGATTGATAAGACAAATAACGCAACGTATGCAGACACAATAGCTCTTGCACTGGACTCCAATAATCACAGGGTATGTTAGTCATAATACCAGGGGCAGAGGAACTGGGGGGCCAGGGAGGCACGTGCCCCCCCACCAAATCTTTTTGGTGCCCTCCAAAGATTTTTTCAGTGCCCCCCCCCCCCAAAGATTTTTAGCTTCCGCCCCCCCTGAATACAGTATGGTTCTCGTTATTACCTCCAAAATTAGTTATAACTCGCTGTATGCCATTTGACTAACTCTACTTTTTTGATTACCAAATAGATAACCTGTGTTTACAATGATCATAGCATATACATATGGGATCTAAAAGATATCAAGAAAGTTGGTAAAATCTGGTCGTCACTATACCACAGTGGCTGCATATGGGGTTTAGAGGTATGTTTTCAATCTTCTATTTAAATCGTAGTCTACTATCACAATATGTTATTTATATAACAGTCTTCCTATATCAGCATGGACTTTCAGGGATCTTGTAAGCCTATGTTCCAGTTAAAGTCTACCTTGAAACATATAAAGGGCTGGACGCGTATGAATCAATGTGATTAATCAATAATGTGCACTTGCTCATACTTATGAGACAACCAATTAAAGGAAATTTGACATTTTTTGAGATTATTATTTTTCACCAAGCTTTCAGACATTGTCCTTTTTTCGGCAATGATGGTCATAGTCATACTTCCTTAAAATGTTTTTTTTACTTATTCCACTGACAGATTTATCCAGAGGTACCTAATCCAACAGATAACAAGGAAGCCCCACTTCCACCAGGGACATTTCTTACATGTTCTAATGACGATACAGTAAGAGTGTGGAATGTAACAGAGGGTGAGTCTATAAAAATTACAGTATTGGAATAATTATAAAACATTTATCAGATTAAATTAGCACCAGCTTATTATGATAAATACTATGGTAGTTATCATAAGAACTTTATAAAATTAAAGCTATGGTAATGTGAACAACAAAATTGCCCTCTCTTTTTTCCCCCTGAGTACCAAAAAAAGATACCAAGCCCAAGTTTTAGAATATTATGGAATCAGTCTAAAAACATAAGATCTTATTGCAAGTTGTGTGAATCCTAACTTCTGATTGGCTAATATGACAGTCAATGATCTTTTTTTATTTTCTTATTAGTTAGAGTAAAAAATCAGACCATTGCTTTTCGACTTATTTTCAGCAATGTTGCGAGATGAGTTGTGGTATTTTGTTGCTCATGTTAAAGTAGCTTTTATTAATAGTAAAATAGATAAACACTTCTCATCTCTGCGATCTTGGATTTTATTGGTTCTTCCATTTTCCATCTTACACAAAACCTTAAACACCATGAGATACCCATGTCATTGACTAGCATCAGCCTAGAATGATGTTGCTTGATAACGTTGAATTTAAGAATACTTTTGCATTGTACTGTACACTTTCTGTTGTCGAATTAATGCAATCATACTAGATTATTCAAATTTCAGAACAAATGAAATCAGTTTTGGTGTAAAATGGCAAAGCAAATAAATGTTATTATCATAAATTTGTACTTATTAGCAACAAAATGTATCAATATAACAATGTTATTCTAATGATATTCTCTGTAGGTACAAACATTTCAACTGTAAAAAACATCTACAGCAAGGTGAGTACTGTTTAGTGTTACTAGTGACTGTGGTAGCCATGAACTACCTAGTTCCTTCAGTGTATATTATATACAGCTCTTTCAAATAAGGTTAATGGACATGTTGCATGCTGCATTGCATCTTGCTTTTTTCTCGTATAAACTTACAATTTAATGTATTAATGGACATGTTACATGCTGCATTGCATCTTGCTTTTTTCTCGTATAAACTTAAAATTTGATGTATTAATGGACATGTTGCATGCTGCATTGCATCTTGCTTTTTTCTCATATAAACTTAAAATTTAATGTATTAATGGACATGTTGCATGCTGCATTGCATCTTGCTTTTTTCTCGTATAAACTTAAAATTTAATGTATTGATATATTAATGAAATAATGTAAGTAATGCCAGAACAAAAGCGTGGAGACATAGGTTAAGCAAAATGTTATACTTTTGAGACCTTTTGCTTATTGTATTCACATGGCCCATAGTGCAGTTCAGGCTTGGTATGGAACATGCAACAAAACCTTCACCAACCTTTTTGTATCTATGGGTTTCCTGTGGACATCCTAGATACTATGTAAAACTGTTACACTGTACTGAAGTAGTCCAAATCTTTGATACTCTCTGATTTGTCTCTGATGTTCCGATATGTAACTATCAGCAGACATCCACAGCTTATCATCAGATATCCTAGCAGTCATTGTAGTCATGCATTCAAAATACATTTGCCATTTTGCTTTTTAGTTTTCACCTTCACCCATTGCTGAAGATAATACTTTTGTATTTCTTGCTATTTTGCCTCAAAAATTAGACACAGCTTTCAAATAATATGTAGAGTGTTTGTTCATCAAGATATTTTTACTGTATATTTCATTGATAAATACGTTGTTCTAACTTTATAACCTCTAACATACTATTTGATCGTACACTGGTCCTATTTCATCATGTCAAACAAACTCTTCCTTTGAAAATCCTCTCATCACCACATCAACCATGTCACTGTTCTATAGCACTTTAATACTTTACCCTGTAGAGATATGCAGTCTTATACCCCATTCACACCAAGGCTTAAACATGTTTTAAAGTAGTTTAACTAAACAGGTTTGGAAAACTATCTACAAACACTGCACAATATTTGGTGAAATAGTTCATGTAAGCCATCCTTTGCCTTGCTCTGATAATATTCTACAAAGTTTCATTATATTGTAGGTTTCTAGTTTCTCATATTTTTTCTTAATGAAAACACAGTTTAACTAAACACGTTTAGGTGTGAATATGGTATTAGACTGCCTATTTTTGGAAATAGCCGCTTACTATTCAATAATCAAAGTACTATTTTAGGAACTTCTGCGAATCCTTTTCATGGACAAGACTTTTGCAAGCCTAAAGAATAATGAAATAAGTCCAAGTAAGTTTATGCTAATAGTTCTATTGACTTGAGTTTAGACCTAAAATATTCTAGTACAAGCTTAAAATAAGGGCTAGTCACTGGACAATGTCTGGCCAAAATTGGAACTTTTCAGGTGAAATCTTTCCAGTGCTGGTCATTTTGACCAGGAACTTTGAGCCAGCAACAAGGTATGACTGAAGATAAAACTAATTTGGCCAGTCAGATCATACCAACAACTGGCTGGCCATTCGTTTAAGCCCTGCATAAGTAGTATTTGATTCTGCTGACTGGTATGTAGACTGGTATGTAGAATTATGCTCTGGTACATTCTCACTTTTACTGTAGCTGGATATATTCACATGCTTGAACAATTATTTTGTAAAGTAATAGATCATATTTTCCATTTATTAACACAACTTTTCATTCCTTTGATGATGAGCTATAATTGTGTTTAACAAAATGTTTAATGAGATTTTATCCATTATGATATTATATTATGTTCTAAGTTTTTCTGGTTTGCAAAAAAATAATGCTCAAGGGAATGATACTTGGTCTGATTAGATCCATTACCACTTATGGGTTATGGTAACTTCATTAATAACTGCTATACCTAAAGCATCGGTTCCTTTGTTTGACTTCCCCTTAACAAACAGTTGTGCATGGTAATTCCTTGTTTAAGATGAATGATTATGTTTATTCCAGCTTCTAAAAATGTGCGAGATGCAACTACAGATGGGAAAAATGGTGTCCGCACCATTCGAACAAGCCCAGATGGTCAGCACTTAGCAGTTGGTGAAAGATCTGGAAACGTTAGGTAATGAATTTGTCATAATATCTTTGAGGCTTTTGCATTTGGACATGATAGTAATATTGTAAATATATAAGCCAAATCAAAATGAGTTGTAGCTAATTATTAATAGTTTCCCTATAATTAAGATAGACAATATTAGTAGTAGTATATATCTTAATACTACATGCTAATTATATCAATAATATGCACTGCATCATCTGATCAATTCATAGGGTTTATGACTGCATGTTTCTGGATGAAATTCTGAAGATTGATGCTCATGAATCTGAAGTACTATGTATAGAATTCTCTCCTCCAGAATCAGGTAACTTACTGTAGTAAGCTTTAAACTACTTATAATATAAATACCATACATGTGATTACCATTCATTCTCAATTACTGTTCTGTATGTACAGGACAAATTTATGCCAGGGAGATGAGGCTGCATCCACCCCTATTAGTTTAAAATGCATTTTTTCCACAGAACAAAGGAAATGGAATTTCTGGTGATCATATATATATATATTTTTAAATTGGGAGCATGTCCCTGTACCTACTGTTGTTTCCTTCTGCATTGTAAGTGGTGAGATCATCTAACATTAAATTTCTATGCCCTCCCTTCCTCAGATATTTGGACCCCCCCCCCCCCCCCCCCCCCCCCCTGGTATGACACAGGTAAAATTGTCCATCAAAACAGCTGAAATGTTTCAGCTAATGTATTGCCCATTGCCCATGAAACAGGAGACAACAACTTAAGTTCCACAAATTTTTATTCACAAACTATATTTCTTTGTCGCTAGGTTACAAACTACTTGCATCAGCTGGTCGTGACCGCCTCATTCATATCTTTGATGTAAAGAGAGAGTTTACACTAATCCAAACGCTAGATGACCACTCAGCTTCCATCACTTCTGTGAAGTTTAATGGTGAGGATACAGTACATGTAGCATGTAATACTTCATATTACACGCTCTTAGAAAAACCTTCGGGAAAATGGCATGAGCAGGGCCATACGGCTTTGAGCAAGCGGGCCCGTACGAATCCGTACAGCCCTGCTCGAATCCTGCAACCATATTGGCATAATTTTTAACTTTTAAAATATCTTTTTTATTTATGGTCATATGATAAAATGCTTATTGGCTGAGTTAGATCGGGCTGTACGGGAAAATATTTGGCTCTCGGTCATTCATGGCATCACTTCGAGCCAAATATTTTCCTGTATGGCCCTCCCACTCAGTCAATAAGTACATATTACTAGTACTGATGCAACTACTTATTGCTGCAGATATATCGTTTGATAGCATAATTGACAACAGTTACCATTCATGGTTTCCCCATCAGACAATGGCAAACCCATCACTGTTCCAGCAGTTTTCCTAGTAAAATTCAAATGTTGCCCCACAAACAACTACAAAGTATTACAAGGATTATGAGGCAAATTTCTTTTATTTTCAAAATACATAAACAATAGCAGCATTTTATAATCAATTTTTACATTTATCAGAGTTTTAAATAATTCTGAGATATATATTGTAGCTTATTTGTTGAGCTTGTGGGACATAGCAACGGTAACTATGGGGAGCAGAAACATTAATTTTTTGTTCTTCATTTCTTTTTCTCCTTTTTAGTGGATGACAACAATGATTTTCAGTTGCTAAGCTGTGGAGCTGACAAGTCTATTATCTTCCGTTCAGCACAATATGTTAGTAAATCATATTAACAACAAATAGAATTTCATTTTAAGTGTCTTTTAATATCTTGCAAATGCTATGCAGTATGGCTACAAAAAATAGAATAAAAGGGCCCCATCTAATGACAACATACATTAGTACTCAATAGACCATTTCACAGATCCCGTGGCTCAACCTCAGCCTCGTCAGCGTGTAATATATTCTTTAGAAATTGCCTACAGCCTGTGCGGACTGTAGTCAAATTCTAAAGAATAATTACACGCTGATGAGGCTGAGGTTGAGAAACGGGATCCGTGAAATGGCCTATTAGCTTCCTATCACTGATAATGGATATGGATGTCACTGTATGGTTTTACTCTACAATTATGTGCAGTTACCAAATAACTAATAAAAATATTCAAGTAATTCTAAGGTATTAACAGTGTTTTTTTAATTTGATTCAAGAATCCAGATCTCCAGTTTGTTAGAAACACAAACTATGTTGGCAAAACGACTTTATATGACATGGCTATTGATTCCTCAAGGTATTCATTTAATACTAGTTCTATAAATATTACCAGGAGTATGCCTTTTCAATTTGTTCAAATGTCTTGAGATGATAGTTGCATTCATGCCCAGGGGGATACTCTTGCCTGTTCATACCTGGGGGATTAACAGTGGATTCCACAGAGTGGCTCTTCTTCCAAGATAATAGAGAGACCTTGATTTCATATACCCTGTTCCAGAGTAGAATCAGTGAAAACCACACCCTGTTTGGCAGCACATATTTGTATATGGAATAAAGTGGAGTACACCTCCCCCCCCCCCCCCCCCTTCCTACCGTATTCACACTCATAAAAAGTGACAACTAGAGTTACTGTTGATTAAATGCTATTCATGGTGTTTTATTTTGTAATCTAATTGCAGAAATGTTGCAGCCATTGCATGTCAGGACAGGAATGTCAGGTAAAATAGTGATTGCTCAGTCATCCATTTAGAATTTTGTTTCCCATGTTCTGTGTGAATCCTGAATTGTAATGGATAATCTGATTACTTGACAGACATTATTAGCAACATAATGATGATTGCTTACAAGTGAAATAACTAATGTCATTTCCTAAATAACTTCTTGTATTCTCTTTTAGGGTGTATGATACTTCTACTGGGAAGCAGACAAAGTGTTACAAAGGAGCACAAGGGGATGATGGAACTCTTGTTAAGGTTAATGTAAAAAAATATAAATATTATTATAAATGGATAGCATTTCCTCTTTCCCTATTTTTGCTCAGTTGAGTCAGGTTTTAACCTGTCTTGGATGCACAGGAAGTGGGGGTGAGTTTGAAGGAGCACTGGGGGTGAGGAAATAAGGGACTGTGGACAACACATATCAATGAATTACCGCCCTTAATTTTTCCTCTCCCTTCAGGGAACCTGACTCAACTGAATTTGGAGGGAAAAGAGGGACTGTTAACACTAACAGTCTATATTATTATGAGATAAAGACATTTGTTGGTCTCCTTTTCTTATTCCTCTGTCGATGCATGAAAGTGACTCCATATTTAGACCAACCGTAACCTGTATGTATCATTAAAACATGTATGATATGGTTGTACTGTACTTTTGGTAATCAATGGTGCTGTATCTATGGTGCACTCAACCTCAACATTCAACAAACTCAACATTGTGTGTGAGTATAGTTGGTTGGATCTCTCTCTAACATGATGAAGGGTCTTTGCAAAGTTCTTCAGTTTTTCTCTTACACCAAAATTCCAACATATTCAAGTTCTGTTGGGTTAGCCATGCCCTAAGGTTTTTCTATCTGACCCAGGGCTTAAAAATAATGATCGGACATCGGACAACGACTTGTCAAGTCAAGTTTTTGCCTTGGCCAGTCATTTTGACAAGTAACATTTAGCCAAAAATGAGATATGACTAAGCTAAAAGTAATTTGGCCTGTAATTATAACTGGCTAAACTGATCAGCCGTTACTTTTAAAACCCTGCGACCTATCTGTCGGATTTAAAGATACTTGTTTTGACTATGCACTAGATTACTATGGACAAATCAGGATATTATACTGCCACAAGTTGTTCAGACAAGACACTGTCACTTCATGAATTTGATACAGAAGAGTGCATGGCAACAATGTCTGGTCATTCAGGTATGTTTCCTTATTAATTCTTATAGGCAATACAGTATGTATTTCTTACAACTCATTTACCCCTAAAAGAATTCATTGCTTCATTTCTAAATACAATCCACAGAAATAGTAACAGGAATAAGATTCACCAACAACTTGACAAAACTGATTACTGTGTCAGGAGATGGGTAAGTATGTTTAATCAGTCGAGAGTATTTTATTGGCTGATTTAATTAAATTCTACTTGCATAATTAATTTGATTAATACTTTCAAAAAGTGCCTGATTTCCTTCTAGTTCACTAACTAAAAATTGAAAATATGTTTGTTATATTGCAGTTGTATATTTATTTGGAGCATACCAATGACCTACACTCAGGTAAATTAACTAAGCTTACAAATGTTTCTACCATAGTACAATAATATGTACATTAGCCCATTCTTTAGCAGGTGTCAATTTACTGGGCCTTGAAGAAGGTTTTCTGTTGGATGATTTTTTAGCCTGTTTAAGTCAAAACATATTGTAATGTGTATAAATGTTATTGCTGTAGAATATGAGAGAACGGCTTAGTGAAATTGGCCAAGAACTTCCCAGAGAAATACAACCAGAAACACCTCTCAGGTATTGGACACTATACCGGTAGTCGGGTATTCAGTTATTTATTAAGACAGTATTTTATTAATGCTTTAACTTTTTGTAATCATCAAGATTCAGAGGAGTATTCAAGAGAAATTCTATAATTGTTAGTAATCATCAGAGGAGTATAAAGTGAGAAGGTTTTGATTTGTAGAAATAAATCATAGAATATCAGCTAGTAAGACTAAATAGTTTGCTATGATGGTTGGAGCATAAATAATTATAAATAGCTTTGACTGATTATGGTGTACAAATTATTTCTCTTTAGGAGGGGTACTTACCGAATTGAACATAACAGTTTAGTTGTAGAAGACACTAATGCTTTTGGGTCTCCATCTAGTGACTTCCTCTCTGGTCGACTTGGTAAGACACTTATTGTTTGACTAAGAGATTGTCAGCTAATTATCATTCATAACAGCTGTACTTACAGTGCATCAAACTTATCATTATCTATCAATCCACCCTCCATTGTTGTCTGCTGTCAGTCTGTCATAGTAAAAGTTGTTCAATCAATTTTAATTGATGGACTAAAAAAAAAATGAAAATGTTTTTGAAAAATTAAAAAAATAAAATTGTTCCACTTCAGTCCATTATTTTGTGCTTAGCAGATAGAATAGTGTACACCAGTCATACTTGTGTGACAGAGTCAAAAGACACTATTTTGGACAGTAATTATTTAGTCATAAATCTATATTTTTAATTAGGAATGCCTCGTGTACACATAGGAATGTAATTCTTTAGTTAACTGTTTGCGTGGAAAATGCGTAAGCAAGAAATAATTTCCGTACGTAATTACATTACAGTGAGTCATGCCTAGGTTTGGCGCTTGTTTACGCAAGTTCGTGTTTGGGACATCCTGTTTGCGCCTAGGGCGTGCAACATTGCGTAGGATGTGTAAGGTCTTAAGAATGCAGGTTTTTCCATAAAAGTAGGCCCAAACTAAGCTTAACTCAGTGTAGTAAAAGTTCTTGAAGACGTTGCGTTGTCTACGGATATTTTCACATATCAAGACAAGGAATTCTCTACGATGTAAAGAGATATCCTGTAATCTCGTTCCCGTTTTTTTTTCATGTATTGTAAAGTTGTGTGAATTTTTCAATAAATTCTTTTGTCAAAACCACTTGCAATCTGATTCATAGCTGAGCGCCTTGCCGCCGGTTACACTTGTTTGTTATCAGAATATTAATAATGATTCATGTGTACCTGATTGTCTTTAATTTACATTCTACAGAGCTTGATCCACCAGTTGCTGACTATAGATTTAGCATTGGACAGTTACCTTCCTGGGCCAAGAAACAGGTACCAATATATAATAACTGGATTGTACTTTACAGCAGCAATGATAAATTGGCTATGTAATACAGTATACTAATATATATTTTCTCGTAGATCATAGCTGAAGGTGGATCAAGTCAAATTACTCCACGGGATCAGGATTCAGGGGGTCCATCACATCCAGGTGGACGTTGGGCACAGGTAAATCAGACTGGCTAATTTATGTAAAGTGTCTATAACCCCTAACTCAATACTTTCAGTATTGATTCTACATGAAGTGAGTAGTTGAATGGTAAAATATTTTTATAAGATCAGAATGATGCATCTTAAAGATATCTAGGTTTAGACTTCCAATAAGTGTGATCACTAGCAATCGGGCACAGTGAATTATTAACAAGCTTCACTTGATTCGGGTTTTAAACTTTTCAGTCATTCAATTTCTGGACTGTGGTCATACTCACAAAACTTAGTTAAATTTTTTGTCACTCACTAAATACGAAATTTCACCGGCATTTTGTGAGTTTGCCAACATTAATTTTATGCCCTGGTGATGTCATAAACATCATTGTCTTACTTAGGGTTTATAGAAAGGTCAATGTTGAAATTTTTTTTTTCATATTAATTAGTGTGTCAATTTAAAAATGATGACAACTAAACTCAAATGCCTACTATGACATCACACTCATTAACTTATTGGAAGTATGAACCTTAATATTTCCAAGATGTGTCACTTAAATGATACAAAAATATTTTACATTCGACTATTCACTTCATGTAGAATCAATTATTACTGGAAATATTGCATTAGTGGTTATAGGCATATAAGCTAGTTTTAACATGGGACTCTTGTCCTAAAGACCCCTTGCAATACATCAGAATGCAAGGACATAACAATTGTAGTACTTCAGAATGCAAGGACATAACAATAGGTTTTCGATTCTCTGGAGATTGAAATTCTTTCGTTTTGTCCTCCAAATTGAGCTGTTTTGACATTACATGCAAGGGGTCTATTGACTATACCATCAATTAGCAATTTTTATATCTAGTTGTAATAAAAGTTAATAAATAAATAGCTCAGTCTAATGTCATAAATAAGACTCAATCTTGCATATTGCATTAATTTCAGCGGGTCAATGATGGAGAGTTGCAAGTTGTAAGTGAGACCAGTCCTCAACGTCCAATAACCCTTGCACTAGATCTTGGTGCTCCAGGTAATTCTATGATCCAACACATGGATTGAAAGAGCTGCAAATAATATTATTCTCTTTTTCATAGAGCGAAAGAAATTTTCAACCGGTTATGATTCCTTCCAAGAGCAAGTCAATGCATTAGCAAATAGTGTAAGTTTATTTGAATTCCATTTATAAAAATAGAATCTTTGATACAAAGACTGATATTTCTCCTCTCTTTACTTCCAGCCATTAGAAAGAAAGTGCTCTCTTACAAATGGGGTAGGAGTTATTGAGCAACATTTCTTGTTCAGTTCAATATTTGATACTAGTATAAAAACAGCTTATTCGTTTTAATTGTTATAACTGTTACTTTTATCACTAGACCATAGACATAACATTACTACAGCTTTTTGTTGAATGAAAGGCATATCAGAGATACCTCTGACTGCTGCTTTATAGCCTGCATAGCAGCCCAAAAAGCCCTTCTCCTTCCCCCCTCCCCTTGCACTATGAAGGCTACTGCTTTGCAGTGCTGAGGGGTCTCAGGTATTCCTGCCGTGTGCTATGTGGGATAGAACCTTTGCACTAAATCTCTGAGGGTTAAAACAATAGCGCAGCGCAACCGTGACGTCATAAAAACGAAGACAAAGGCGAAATTCGGACAAACAAACTTACAAGTTTACTTTCAGCAGATAATTTTCACAGCCGATCGCAGTTGATCTTAGTTTACATGGGTTATTATTGTAACTTTAAGTAAGAATGATAAACTCGGTTCGTATAATCCTCGTAGCGGTTAAACAGAATGCAATGTTTGTCCGAATCTTTAAGCTATTTTTAGAATCACTGCGCTACGCTATTGAAAAATGATAATCCTCAAGAGAAGGCAGATTGTTGGTTTTAACCCCCAGATTTGTACAAAGGGTCTATAGGCTTACTGGATAGGTATAGGGAAGACCTACTAGATGAGCTCAGGGGAAACCTGCTTGATGGGTGGGTCTAGGGTACACCTGCTGGATGGGTCTAGGGTGCACCTGCTGGATGGTTCTAGGGTACACCTGCTGGATGGTTCTAGGGTACACCTGCTGGATGGGTCTAGGGTGCACCTGCTGGATGGGTCTAGGGTACACCTGCTGGATGGGTCTAGGGTGCACCTGCTGGATGGGTCTAGGGTGCACCTGCTGGATGGGTGTAGGGTACACCTGCTGGATGGGTCTAGGGTAGACCTGCTGAATGGGTCTGGGTACACCTACTAATCAATGATAAGCTTTACATTACTGTGAACCTTATTTGTTTTAGGAAGATGAAGACTTGTTTCCTGTCAATGGGAAATTACAGTTAGATGAATTACAAGAAGAAGATAGTGAAGTTGTAAGTGGCATGAGAATTGTTATTTCTAGTATTAATGATTTATATGTTAGGAAGACATTCTTGGCAGAGTAAACTAATATATAATTATAAGTAATGATAAAATATGTTTCATTGATAGCAGATGAAAGCAGGTGATATGCCACAAGGTGTGACATTATCAAGAGGTAGTGATCCTTTCTCTAGACCCAGAACCTGGACAGGTGATAAGCTTTTGGTCATTGAAACAGAAGAGATTCAGTTTGAAGAAGCAGAGGAGTCAAAAGAAGATGATGTCAAAGAAAGTATTATCTACTTCCCACCTGCACAGGATGATATGGAGACTGAAACAGCAAGGTTTGACATATCTTATAAATATCTGTGAATAAATGCCACTTGAAGACGCAAGTGCACCCAACCACCTCTTGCAGTTTGTAGTAAACTTGCAAAAATCACTTTTAAACCTTAAAGAATTACCTAGTTTAAACACTCAAGATAAACATGAACAAATGTGTAAAACATTTGCATTAGGCACAACATATTCGCTAAAACACATTAACAATGTATTGATATCATTCTCGTTATTATTCTTGTTATGAAAAGAATGTACACTGTAGATACTACCAGTTTACTGTACGTCCACAGTCACTGTCACTAACCCTCATGCCCATCACATGTC